GTTAGAACACCAATATTAAGGACAGCATTCTGGCTTTCACCAAACAAGACAAACACTTTCTCTTCTTCATGTAATGCTGTATCTGTAGGATAAGAAAGAATTCCAAAACTTGAAATCTACTGCTCAAAAAAACATAGAAATTTTAGTCGCAGATCAGAGCTAAAGACTAGGTTAATTCTTACGCGATTTTGTGTTCAAAATGTGTATCTGAGCATTCAGTGTGGATCTGTACATTTAATAAAGCCATCTTTTCTCTCAGAGGTGAGATGCAAATAGAAGACATATAGGCATTAATCCTAAAGCTGGCTGTTTCATTAGAAGACTGTTTGCTATGTGTGTTATTAGAACATAGCTTTATTCAGTAAGCAGTATCTTACACATCAACCAGACTCAATCACACTTTCATTTAGAGTTTTAGTAATAATCATTTTGAAATGGAAATACCTAGTAGCAACATGATCAGGAAAGCAGTTTTTGAAGACGTATGAAGATCTTTAAACTGTAACCGTTCAGAGAGCTCTAGTCTTTATTGTCCATTTATAGTACTATCTACCATGGTTGGTTATTTTATGGCATTATTTCTTTCTTTCTCCAAAACTATTTCATCCAATTAAACACCATTGTTTTCAGTTTGTACTTTTTCTTTTTTCCTGGATCTCACTTCTTCTACAGTAATATTTTTTTTTAATGGTGGATATAAATTATGCTGCAGGAATATTACCAATATAAAAATTGTCCAATAATGACTATTACCCCAACAGTACGAATATGTACAACTGTACCAGATCTTGTCACATTCCCTGTGTAGAAGCAAGGACAACATTCATGCCATTTCACTTGTTTGCTTGACTTGCACTGGTAAAAATACCAGTATGAGGGTTTCAAGTTCATCAGCTCTTTTACAGCAGTCTTTCAAATTCTGAAAAAGCAGCAATGTAGTTTCTGACTCTTACATTAATATTCATTATAGAGCAATCTTACCTTTACTTCAGCATCTCAAAAAATGTTTTAAGTTGCCTGGATGAGCACACAAAATGGACTTTTTTTTTTTTTTTTGCCTCTATTCTATGGTCTTAAGAGAATAAAACTCATTTCTCTTGCTGAAGGGACATACACAAACTGTCCACACTAGAATTCCCTGTGTACAAAATGTACTGAGCTACTAACTGTCACTGTGGGAGTTTCATTCAGACAGCATACTTGGAGTTGACGAAGTTTATGCTATCTAGAGCGATGTGACTTCCTCTAGGAGTAGAACAACAAACAGCAAAACCTCAGTATCCCCATTTCTGGGCAATCTTACCTTCCCTCTGTTCACTGGAGCAAAAAAATAAATAAAAAATACCAGTGGATCTTCGTACAGGTATCAGCCTGCTTAGACCCTAGCAGAGCACCTAGTTTTCTGCGTGCTTAACCAAGAATGAAAGTCCCTTTTTTGTGCCTCTTTCTTTTTTTGCTTTTTTTCCTCCTGTGTGCATGTACAAATAGTGGCTCTGTCTCACAGATGTCATCACTTTAAATCAGAGACTCCTTCTCAAACTCAAGCTCCAGGCTGGTGGCCAGATGTGCCACCTAAATGATACTCAATAGGAATCACATATCGCCTACTGCTTTCCAGTCACACAGGAAAATGGATGGTATGGCCCCACCCTTTCCCCAGGCTGCATTAAGAGTACTGTTTACCTTTCTCACATAAAGATTTAACAACAAAAGCAGGGCTGCACAGAGAAAGGAAGTCACCTTAGTTGAGAATTCTTCATGGCTTGGTTAGTAAAGGACCGCAGTATCTAGCTTATTTTGGTTATGATGTTACTGAAACAAAGTATCAGCTTTCCCTTTTCTCATCTTAGTCTTATTTAACGCTCACACAAAAGTAATGCAAAGAGCACTAGTTATAACCTCTAATAGTCAATTTTTAATATTGAACTTGTAAAAAAGAATAACTCAGAAGCAATACTGATTTGAGGATCTGAAATAATAACAAAAAAACACATTTAATCAAGCACTCTACAACAGTGCTTCCTGATAGCATCAGCTGGTATGGTGTAGCAGTGACCACTAGCTTTTATGTCTGCTTTGCCAAATGGACTTCCTAATTATATAATTCTCCTCTGCATAATTAATGGAAAAGGAAATAAGTGCTGCCTTTTTGAGACTCAGTTTTCTGAATAAAATGTTTTTCATAATACTAGTAACACTCCTAGTCTGAAAAATTGAACTTATATTTAGTAGGATGACTGCTTTAGCATACAAAACCGATTTCTTACGTGAATATTAACCAAAAATCCTAACTACAGAAATTATCTCCAAGGGAAATTGCTTCAGGAACCTGAATTGAGTTCTTCAGTTCTCATTGCTGTTACTATGAGCTAATAGGTAAGATCTGTGAATCACCTCAATCAAAAGAGAAGCTGAATGTGAGTGGATTCTGCTGCTTGAAGAGAAGAGATAAAGGTGAGGAAGTCAAAAGGTGAGGAAGCCAAAGAGAAACCCCTAAAAACACCTGCCAGAAGCTGGGGGCAGAGTTGTTCAAAAGAGCTTGCCAACTAACAGAATTTCTCAAGAAACAGTTGGGCCCTGGAAGTCACCCAAGAAAACAGAAGACAGTGGATGACAACATTTTGAAGGAGCCTTTCCAGCCTACACTGAGATTTAGGGTGGGAATGGAGCATTGCTCCTGTAATTCAGTGGAAAAGGAAGTGTTATGAAAATAGTAGTTGTCAGTCTTGAGTGCACTAATAAATCTTAATAGTCTTGACCACCTTCATCTAATCCAAGGGCAATCTCTGGCTATGACCAACTATCCCTCAGCCAATGGCTCATATCTGCCACTCCTGGGCATGTACACCTGCCCTGAACTATGTTGTAGGTTTGTCAGTTTTTCCAGTCTTGTCTTCTGCTTTTGCTAACCGTCCTGAGGTCTGATTGGTTACCTTGTCTTGACTAGTGTCCATTGACAGAACCTGCCATGACCACCAGCCTGGCCCAGTGCAGGTCCATGGGTCTAAGCCATAATCACTGAGGTCACAGCCTGCCCTGCAGTTACCCTCTTCTCTCACATAGCTCTCCTCATGGTCATTCATACTCTCATTGCTTCAAAGAAGAAAGTACTATCAGGAATCAAGCTACTGGAGCAAGATTGGAGGAAGCTCAGCATGCCCTTGAAGAAAAGAAAGTTGATGGACAAGCAATGCATCAGCATGGCCAGCAAGCTTAGCTATGGAAAAAGAGGTAAGAAGAGTGGAGAAAGACATGGACCAAGTGTAAGTATCATTGTGCTAGCTCTGTGACATCCATCGCTTCTGAAAATTGTATTTCAAGTACTATGTCACATAAACAAGTCTGAATTGTGAAGAGCAGCGTGTGGATGATGAAATTTTCACCTTGGCTCATACACCAGGTCATAGACAGTGACCAATACTTTGGTGTTGACAGAGGATTTGATTTGCAGACAAAACATTTATACATATGCACATTTGTATACATGTATGAAGAATGTGAAGAGAGCTGAATATTTGAGCTTTTCAGCCCAATCACAAAAAAATAACAGTATTGGCATTTATGTTCTAAGCTTCTGCTTTACTGGACTGAAGAAAAAATATATTTAGCTCTAAGAATGGACAAGGGAACCACATCTCCAGTCTACACAAAATCTTCTGACTGAAGTACAACTTCTCTCTTGTTCTCATTTGACTTCTAAATACAGTCAACAAGGAAAAGATAATTCTACATCTCTGTTGCAGGCTGGCACAAGTATCATGAGCCTTCATTGCTTCATATGCAAGTTGAACCAAGGTGCATCAGATTAAATAACTAAATGTTCTGAGACACTTCAGTTCACATTCATTTATTTTCTTAAAACTACTTTGGCCTTACAGTTAATTCTTTTCAATAAGGAGTTAAATACAGTTAACAAGATGCTGTCATAGATGTTAATCCTGCCTATGCTGCCAAAGTCTTCTGTGATGGTGTATCATGGTGAAAAAACCTTCACACACTTCAGCAAGGGTGTGTGCTTATCTCCCTTACTCAATAACTACAAAATAAACGAAGCCTGAAATACTGATAAATGTCAAGTGATCTTACCAAAAAGTGAAACAGCAGAAGTCTACCAGGAATACCACAGAATGGCTTGGGATGGGAGGAACCTCGAGAATCATGAAGCTCCAATCCCCCTGCCACAGGCAGGGCCACCAACCTGCACATTTATTACTAGACCAAGTCGCCCAGGTCCCCATGCAATCTGACTATGAACATCTCCAGAGATGGTGCATCCACAACCTCTCTGGGCAGCCTGTTCCAGCACCTCACCACTCTTTCTATAAAGAACTTCCCCCTGACATCCAACCTAGATCTTCCCTCCCTCAACTTAAAACCATTTACCCTTGCCCTGCTGTTTACATTTATTGCAACTAGTCACAGAACTGGGCCAAGCCAGCCCGTAAACCTTACACCTTATTACACTCTATAGCTTCCTGAAAAGAGGTTGTGGTGAGGAAGAGATTAGCCTCTTCTCCAGAGAAGAAACAGGATCCAAGGAAATGGTAACAAGTTGTACTAGAGAAGGTTTAGACATAAGGAAGAATTTTCTCTCTCAGAGTGGTCAGGCACTGGAACAGCCTGCCCAAGGAGATGGTGGAGTTGCCATCCCTGGCAATGTTCAAGAGGTGTCTGGACGAGGAGCTATGAGATATGGTTTAGTAGCTTGTAGTAGCAGTAGCAATGGGAGGACAGTTGGACTAGATGATCTTACAGATCATTTCCAACCTTGCAACTCTATGATTCTGAATATATTATTTCATTCTTATCAGGAAAATTAAATACCACAACTAACCTTTCATCCACATTTTACAATCAGTAAAGAAAAAAATACTTACTGAATACAAGATTTGAATTATGATTATTGTATAGTCAATGAATATAAAGATGCTATAATTATGAAACAAACAGTTTGGCAAAGCAGATTATAACAACAAAAAGAGAATAGATAGAAAGCCTACCTGCATCCTGGGCTTACTGCAAAATTCCAGAGGAGGGATCTCCAGAAGAGATCCTCCCCCTCATAGTCAGCTCTTGAATAGGTCTAGGAGAGGTGGATCTAGGCTCCACCCCTTCTGGCAGCACAGGTGAGTTGCCTTCACCTGTGCTCCATGGCTGGCTCGTTGCTCACCTCAGGTGATTAATCAGAGGTTCAGGCCATGATTCAGCAGTTCCCATACAATTATAAACACTAAATGTTACACCAACTAAAACCAACTGATTCAATAATTTTTCAATTTAACATCAATAGAACAAGATTTTTGAAGCTGAAATGTAGAGTTGGATGCATAAATCTGTACCTGTGTGACCTTCTGGTAGGTTTTTCCAAAACTTGTCATACCTATCAGTCTGTGACTCACTATGCAAGCAATCAAGGACTCACCCAGAAGCTAAGAATAAAATTAAGCTTTTTGTTAACATTTATGTTTCTTGAAGTAATCATACAATCTCCCTTTATAAACACTGGAGTCTGATTAATATATCTTACGATTCTGAGCTCTTACCTTAGGAGGAAATGAACCATCTTCTGGCCAAGGCCATGAGCTATAGAACAAACATCTGTACTATATCTAAATTATAAGCTATAAACTAAGCTATATCTAAAGAATCTGAACTCACCTGTAAGGTCCCCAAGCAAAATAAGGCCATTTTTCTGAGCACAGTTTCTTGCGAGATCCAGTTCAAATTCAAATTTACGGTTTTACAGATCTAATAGAATGTTATAGTTTTACTTTTCATGAAGTTTTAGTACTAAAGTGTGTAATGCGGAAAGAGACTGACATCTAGAATTCAAATACTAGATGCTCAGGTTACCAACCCCACCAAAAGTCTTGCCAATGTCATCATCCATTCCAGCAGAACTTGTGAGGAGGAGGGTTGGGCTGAGGAGAAGCCAAGTCACTATTTTTTATAATTTAACCATTTTAAATGTAAAAAAGATACGAAAATTGATGTTACTTTAGTAAATCAAACACAATTGCAAAGTGAAACAAAGCAAAATGAACAACAAAAATACACAACATACAAATGAAAAAACAAATCCACAGAGATCGTAAAGTGAATTCTAGAAGAAATGGGACTCAAAGCTGATTATTTTTCAGCATCTCATGAATGATCATAACCATACAAGTGGAGAAAATAGAACGCATGTGAACCTGCACTGCTGAATAAGAAGGAGCAAGCATCTCTGCTCTGTTATTAAAACACAGGCAGGACACTGCAGCAGTCCTTTCAGAGACAGACATAGCTGTGTTGAAGTTATGCTCCTAAAACAAGTGCACAGAGATTTACAGCTTGAATGCATACAGAAACTGAAGCTGGCTCTGACTATATGAAACTAGCTGCAGTACTGACTGTCTCGCCATAAATACTAACTCAGTGCTCTGTATCGGTGAGCTCGCAGGTAAAGGTTAAGTTGTTGTTTTTAATGAACAGATCCATAAATTAGTCTAGGATATCACGGGCTCCATGTTCACCAGCCCAGACAAATAAACTGCCAGCAGACTCTTTGACAGGCAGTCCTTTAGATTAGCTTTATTTTCAAGCAATCCAAACAAATAAACCATTAACCCTTGGCTGGGCCATCAAAGAGCCAAGCCTGCTTCTTCTGGTAGTCCTTGTAAGCCCTATTTCTTCACACCCCAGGAAAACCAGAGTACTGCTAATAGCTAATGGGCTATGTGTATCTTTCAGCTGGGAATAATTTTAGCTGATCCCCAACACCTTAAAGATTTTTTAAACAAACAGTACAAAAACAGTTGCTTTTGTTGATAGTCATGTACTGCTGTTAAATTCTCCCATCCTCTCCACCACTGTCCCCCTTTCGCTGAAACAAAGAACTCTTCTACAGCCATCAGTCTTTACTTCATGAGATAAGAGTAGTCCAGGAGCAGAATCAGGCTGTAAATATAGCACTGCAATCATTTTTAGCATGGCAGTACCAGAGCAATCCCCAGCAGATGCTGCTGAACAGTTTCAGTTGTCCAGGTAGAAATCTGTGTTTTTCTGGAATAAGCTTGACTCAGATGAGCCTAATTTTCATTCTCAAACTCACCTCCTTTGAAAACAGCAGAATGAAAAATTTCTTCAGAAAAGTCTAGTTTTTCAGGGATTAAAATATTAAAAAATACTCTTACTCCCATCAAAAATGTCAGTGTAGCTTTGCTTGCTTTGAAGTGTCTTGCTACACAAAACTACACTTTTTATTGCTACGATTACTGCAAAAATTTTGGTCTTGGCACACTGGTTAATGGGCTTGACAGAAATCCTCTGTTACAACATGTTTATGGACCACTGCCAGTGCACAGATTTTCTTTGAGTTAAGATATCATGCATTACGACGTCAAGCTCTTTTCAGCAGCTTACCTGAAATAAACCTGATATACTGTGCTACGGATACCCAAACCAGAATGACTGCAGTACTGAAGTAGTTCAGAGTACAAGCAGGTGGTGTAGGCACTGACACAAAGAAAAGGAGAGCAGAGCAGCAGTCTTGCAGCATGAACTGAGAAGACTCATTCTTCAGACTCAGAAAACATTTCAAGATCTGCCCTGGTCCATTCGTGTTTTGGAGAACTGACAGACCTCTAGGAGGCCCAAAGAGCAGACACTAGCCAACACAGACATAAAGCAGGACACTGTCAGCTTCTAGGTCCCCAGGACAAGACTAACCTGATTTAGCATGTCAAAGGCAGCTGAATAATCTATTTTTCCCACCCTCTTTCAGCATTTTTCAGTCTGACACACGAGCTTCTATGTCAAACTGCTGTCATATTTAGCCCTGTAAATCACTACAAAAGCAGATGCACTGGCTGGATTTGGGATCCAGTTCAGCCAGGTTGTGTATTCAACGACAAGTGTTAATGAAGAAATTTACATACCTGTGTGAAAAAGGGAGAGTTAACTTTATGTAGACACTTCTCAATAACTTCTTGTGTAGGCTGAAAATACTAATTTTGAAATACAGATATATTTGTCTCAGTTAATGGGCAAAAAGCTGTTATGAATAAAATCTTTCATATTTGAGTAGTATTAAACAATAATTTTTAGACTATCTAATTCTTCAGCTTTATAATTCATAGAGTATCTCAAATTATATCTAATGTTTCTGTATCTGTAACAGAGGGTTCCCTATTGAGAAAAGGAACTGTTTTAATGACCCTCTCATCCAGCAGGTCATGCAAATCTCAAACAAACACTGAAGAAGGCCTCTGGATCTCATCAGCCCTAGTTTTAGCAAAGGCTTCTCTTCTACTAATTGAACCCATCCTGCATGTCTGCAGCCCTGCAGACCATCCATTAGAGCAAAAATTAGAATTGGAATTAGTTACTGACAGTGAGCCACCAGCAACAAGCAATCAGCTGATAAAAGCCATAGATAAAAATCAGATCCTCCAAATTAAATGTTTAACATACTTAAACATACATCATACAAGTATAAGAAATAAATGGCATTATTCCAAAAAAGGCAAGCTGCCAAATAACAGTCATAACTAGGTTAAAAAGCAGAAATGATAAAGAACCTTATAGTGAAGACCCAAGTGGCAGGAAGTGCAAGTATAAGGACAGATCAAAAGAAGGCAAAGAACTGCTTGCCTTTTATTCCCTGCATCTACACAATAAGCTAATTTTGTTCTAATTTTGTTTTGAACCTAACATCCCAAGACATATTCTTTGGTGTCTGAAGTCTGAAGATCTCTTCCAGCTCCCTGGGATATATAAATCACCTTAACAGAAGTGAGGGAATAGCAAGGCCTTTGAAGGACAAATGGTCATTACAATAAAACAGGCTTCTTAACATGAAGGCTCTGGGTTAAAAATGAGAACCCATAAGGGATTTCAAATTCCTGACCCAACAGACGCAGCACAAAATACTAGAGAAAATCTCACAAAATAGATAACAAGAGAATTGGTATGGATTAAAGATTCTCTGGAGACAACACATCCCAGACACCACATGTATGAATTCATAGAATCATAGAATCATAGAATCACCAAGGTTGGAAAAGACCTAAAAGATCATCCAGTCCAACCGTTCACCTATTCCCAATAGCTCCTACTAAACCATGTCCCTCAATACAACATCCAGTCTTTCCTTGAACACCCCCAGGCTTGGTGACTCCACCACCTCCCTGGGCAGTCCGTTCCAGTGCCTGACCACCCTTTCCGAAAAGTAATACTTCCTCATGTCCAGCCTGAATCTCCCCTGCCGTAGCTTGAAGCCATTCCCCCTGGTCCTATCACTGATGACATGAGAGAAGAGGCCGACCCCCAGCTCACTACAGCCTCCCTTCAGGAAGTTATAGAGAGCAATGAGGTCTCCCCTGAGCCTCCTCTTCTCCAGGCTGAACATTCCCAGCTCCTTCAGCCTCTCCTCATATGGCCTGTGTTCCAGACCCAGGATTCGGATGACATCCTCAGAAAGACTGAGTTTCATAGAAGTAATTCTGACAAACAGGTCATTTTTCAGCTGATTTAAGTGAGGGCCTAGCAAGATCCCTACTCACTCCAGTACAGAAAAGGCACAAACCTCAATGCTGTTTCATATCAACCAAATGATGGATTCTTCCTAAAGAACAATTAACATGGTTTCTATAATAATTTCTTTCCTAATAAGATGTTTTCTAGAACACTTACGCATTGTGTTCCTACTCCTGTTCTTTAGTGTTCTCGATGGCTTTTGAACAACTGTTCTCTTTGTGAAAACAATAATTATTTGTCACAAGAGGTACTATGTTCTACGATTGAGAACATGCATCCCAAGAGAGCAAAGGAAAGAAAGCAGAACAACTGTACTGCGTGAAAGAAGTCTTACTTCACAGTACTACACAATATAGTCTTTATTCCACCCCATAGTCAAATAACAATGAATTACAAGATTTCTAAGATGTAACATCTGTTTTGTGTATATAATCCATAGAAGGCTTCCAAGTGCCCTTAAATGAATCTTCAGTCTTCTGCAAATTTGAATCCTTGATAAGTCCTCTATTTCTTAATCTATATGCAATCTTCTTA